GATTCATAACAATAGCAAAATTACAGTTATAGAGTAGCAACGAAAATAATTTTATGGTTGGGGGTCACCACAACATGAGGAACTGTATTAAGGGGGTCGTGGCATTAGGAAGGTTGAGAACCGCTGATCTAAGGTCTTGTACCTAGTCTGGGGATTAGAAACTACCATCGCTGTATCTCTGAAGTGAAATACAGTTCCTATATCAGAAGCCACTCCAGTGGATAGGAAGACAGTAGTGAAGTGGCCAAGAGGTGTGTTACAGATGTACTGATGATTAGAGACTGCCAGGCCGCCTTGCTCAAGCATTATAATTAGAAACCAAGAAAACAGGGTCCATGTGTACTTACCTTTCACCCCCACTGCAATGTTATGTGTATGCTTCAGGGCAAAGACACACTCCTCCCGAGTAAAATAAGTGATAACATTACCATTGCTGAAAACTATTAGAAACTCACAAACTCTAATGTTAGATTTTGCTATTAGGAAGTCCTTCATCGAATTAGGAAAATCAGTTTTCACAGAATAGTGGGAATTGAAACCAAGGAATGAGTTGCACAGGGAATGAGAGGTGAAGACATGGAGACTTCAAGAGAATGTCATTTTCCCACAAAGCTTTAAATGAGATGGAAAGAGATGACGGGCAGAAACCAGAAGGAGATAAAGGATAAAAAGATGGGTCATGATATTTAAGAGATTTAAGTATGATCGTAATTTGAATGAAAGGAACTTGTAGAGAAGAGGCAGAAAATTGAAGGTGCCAGGTCCCAAAGAAGACAGGAAAAGTGGGCCCTGAAAAAGTTACCTTTTTCCAGAAATTAAAAGGAAGTAAGGGAATGGTTATAAGTAAATATATAGCTGAGAGGAGTTTATACTAGATGGCCTCAATATTTTTTGTGAAGTAGGACATTAATAGCCGATGTTATTTGTGAAGTAGCAGCAGGTAAAAGATAAATTTGGGGGGGTTTGAAGAGAATGGAGACGGTTTGGAATAGACAGCTAACCAAAGACAAAATCATTAATGAAGTTTTAATTACCAAATTGAGTTTGGAAACCATGAAAATATAGTCGTTGCGTGATTATTTCTAGTATCTCAGCTAAATGGCTTAGAAGGCCAGGCATATTATAGGACTGGATCCAGAACTGTGATGTGGATGATCGACAGAGGAGCAAGACTGGGATGAAGGGAGCTGAGGGCATTGGCACCAGACAGAATATAGCACTGTTCTAGAAATGTGAGTTGGAAGACAGAGACCAGGGAAGGAAAAATGGAGGGGGATTGAAAGCACTGGTGAGAGAGCAGGTCACATGACCAATTAAGAGAACCAGGCCGGATATGGAAGAGTGGGTCCACGAATAAACTGGAAGAAAAGGCAGTATTATAGGAATGGAGGTCTTGAGATTGTGGACCAGGAATACTGGGGCAGGAGTACTGAAATCACCCAGACCTACTCCATAAAATGGAGTGTGGCCAAGGGAAGGAAGTTGAAGGCCTTGGAATTGTGATGCTTGGGTGTTCAACAGAGCATTTACATGAATGTTGAATCTAGGAAATAATGAGAGGAATTGAGGTTTAAAGGATTAAACATGATCCAGGTACAATGTTATTGTGGGGGAATGAATGACCTGGAGGCTATGGATGTTAGGAACAAAGCAGGTAAATTAAATCACCATGGAATAAACTTCAAAGGAATGAAAGTTTTTACCAGAGTGAAATGGTTTAAAATAGACTATGGGAAAAAATGGCGATATCAGTTCTAAGCCTTGTGGTGCATAGAGTTTGAGGAAACTGAAAAGGGAGCAGTATCCTTGAAAAAGGGGGTCCAGGAAATAGAAGACATATTCATCAGCAACAATGGAGGGTACAGGTGAGTGTATTTATAGTGTAATAGGCTGCCAAAGCCCACACTGGAAAGGCCCAAGGGGGGGGTACTGCGGGGAAGGTGAGGTGAGGGGTCAAGAGGTCATGCAGTCAGGCACACAGCAGTTTGGAGAAACGAGAGGAAGCTGGTGGATGGGTGATGGCTGCTGTCAGAGCAGTGACCACGTAGAACAGGAATGAAAAGTTTGGATGGAACTAGTTTCTCAGCTTTTGGCCAGTTTTTTCTTTTTTTTTTTTAACAAAATGATAAATTGAGGGTCCCAGGCAATGTTTGGCCTTTGGAGGAGTGTCTGGCCTTTGGAGGAGAGCGTCGTAATTGCTGGACCCTTCCAGGGGATGCTGTGCAAAATGCTGAGTGTAGTTGTATTTGGCTTCGTCTCTGCTCCACTTCCTGTGGGTTTAAGACAAGCAGCCACTGATTGGCCACACTGTCTGGCAGGCATGGCTGCAGCAGACATCCCAGAAGTCAGAACGTAGGCCTTTTCTCTACAGGACCGCACCCTCTTTAGCATAAGATCAGTAGCTTCACTTTCTATCAGGCGCAATCCCTTTTTTCCTGCTTCTGTAAAAGATAAGACTTCATTCATCAGTCTTCTGGAGAGAGTATGATGTCGTGGAAAAGGCTTGGACTCACAAAGACTCAGGTTGAATCCCGGAAACTTGGGCAATTCATTTTTCCGAGTCTTAATCCATAATAATAGACCTTGTATGTAAAGTGCCCAAAACACAAAAAGTATTCAATAAATGTTTACCCATCATTAATTATTTCATAAAAATCTTATGGAAGACTATCTGCCAGGCATTGTGAAGTCCTGGAAATCCAGTGATGAATATGACATGATCGGGTCCATAAGATCCTTAGTTTAGTAGGAGAGACGAAGATAAATACATTCACTGACAGACAAGGGTGCCTTGACAGATGCACAGATGGACAAGTGGGAGTCCAAGGGAGCAGCAGGAAGTCCGGCCTGCCTGAGGTGGAGAGAGAAGGCAGGGACTTCCTTCTCTGCTCATCTTCCTTCTCTATGTGCAGGGCCCATTTCCTGAAATATATCCCGTGTACCTTTCGTCTACTCCTGTGGTATCAGTGATAACCTATGTGCTGAAGCGTTCCAGATTTCTCTACCAAACGTCACGCCATACATCCAGTTGTTAAATAGATATACTTGGATATACCCCGAGGCCTTCAGCGCAGCACAAGCTAAATTGGAATTTTATCTTTTCTGAAAACCTGGTCCTCCGCTTTCGGGGCACCTCCTACTGCTCAGTTGTCATGTCAGAAGCATGGAAGTCATCTTTGGTGTCTCCCTCTTCCTCATTCTCCACGGTTAGCTTTTAGCAAGTCACATTAAGTCTATCCGATAGCTTTCAAGCCTGCCCACTTCTCTCCACTTTCATGTTTATAATCCTACTTGAGTATCATCTCTTGCCTCAGTTACTCCAACAACCTTTAAAAGGTCTCCACCCCCCTCTAATCTGACCTCCTTTTAATCTAGTCTCCATACCCCAACCAGAATAGTATTTCTAAAATGCAAATCTAATTACTTCATTCCTTGGCTTAAAATCCTTCAAAAACTTCCCATTGCTTCTATAATAAAATAGTTGCCAGGGCACTGCAGAATCTCATCTTTCCTTGCCTCTCTAACCTCATTAATTCATCACTTCTCTTATCCAATGCTTTCATTTTAGATAAACTTCTTCCCACTGCTCTTCCCTGAACCCCCACATGCTCCTGGTGCTCTTTTGAGCCTACATGTTTCTGTACCTCTGCTCTCGGAGCACCCACTACATTGTACGGATAGCCATTGGTTTTCCTTACTAATCTTAGGGCTAGGATCAAGCTGGTGGTGGTTTTGGTTTTGTTTAGTTTTGCTTGTAGTGTGTACGTGTAACCCAGGAGAGCTTTGAGCATAGGAAACACGATCATCTGCCTGGGCTGAGGCTTGTACTTACAGGAGCAGCGTTAAGCCACACTATGGCGGTCTCATTCACACCCCTTCTGTATGTTCCTTGAAATAGCTACATAAAAGAGAAATTGAACTGTCAACAATGTTTCAACAATATACTCAGTGTTCAATAACTAGATATTGTCTCTATAGTTTACATCTAAATGAAGATTAAAATTAAATTTTCTCTCTCAATGAATGGCCTGTTTTTACATTATTGCATGAGACAGTAACAGGACTATTTATTCCATTATCTGCTTATACTCTGAATTTAAATATTCCCTAGTATTTATTCCCTAGTAGAGCAATTTCAATCATTAGAAATAAAATATCGTGGACCATTTTACCTTATGTAAGGTATTTAATCATTTAACTAATGATTTTAATTATAATTAGTTATAATAGTTTATAACTAATCATGTACTTTTATATTTATCATCATGATTATCTTATCTGGTCCAGAAATTAAAATACACACACACACACACACACACACACACACACTCTCTGATCTTATTAAAATTTTACACTAATGTTTTATTCAGATTTGACATAAAATAGTATAAGAGGCACTTCGTCCTCAAAGGGAATTGTTTTTTTTAAAGTTTTACTGAGGTATAATTTACATAAAATAAACTGCTCATACTTAAAATGTACAAGACCTATGTACACACCCATGAAATCACCAAAGTAATGAACATATCCATCACCCTAGAATGTTTCCTCATGCCTTTCTGTAATCCCTCCCTTCTACCCATGCGAGCCCCCAACCTCAGCTTTCTATATTGTTTAATTTACAATTCTTAGTTTTATAAAAATAAGACTATACAGTACTTTTTAAAAATATGCTTTCTTTCAGCAGTTATATTTTTTATTATAGTTCACATAAAATATTGCTGATTTTTAAAGCCTACATGTCTTATTAGCTACTGAGAGGGGACTATTGAAATCTCAGGTATAATTGTAGATTTTTCTATTTCTTTTCCATTTTGACAGTTACTTCAAAATGTAAGCTGTGTTACTATATCTTCTTGACGAATTTACCCTTTTATATGAAATGTCCCTCTTTATCTTGAAGATAGACCAAATTCCTTTTCCTGAAGTCTACTTTGTCTAACATTAATATTGGTGATCCAGCTTTATTGTTTGCATATTTTCGCATCATTTTAATTTGAACTTGTGTCTTTACGTTGGTGATGCCGTTTATGTAAACAGTACATAATTGGGCCTTGCTTTTTTATTTAGAGAACTATGTCCTCCTTTTAATTGCAGTGTTTAGGTTTACAATTAATTATTGATATGATTGATACTTGTTTTCTATTTGACCAACCTACATTTTTATTTTATCTATTTTTTTGGCTCTTTTTGGACTAATTTGTAGTATTGCATTTTAATTCCTCTGTTGGCTGCTTAGCTATGCTTCTTTATTATTATAGTTCTAAGTTTTACAATACACATCTTTAACTCAAGTCTACCTTTAAAAAATATCGTACTACAGGGCCGGCCCAGTGGCGTGATGGTTGAGAGCTGGCTTGGGATTCCAGAGGGCCCCGGTTCGGATCCCACATGTGAGGGCCAGTGACACTGCCCTCCG